TATATATATTACAACACTATAGTTTCGGTATAGCGTGAATTTGTTTTACAACATACTAGCAGCCATGGTGGTGCCCGCCAGATTCTCACAGTTCCATCTAGACATATTAGAAAGCTTGGAGTCAACTGAATAGGGGCATTTGTCTCATATATATATATATATATATACTCACTCATGTTTGAAGTTCAAAGCACTACAAACCTTACTATACTGTCTGTATACGTATGTACAGCCACACGTATAGCCACCAGTAGACTGTGGGTTGCACTTCTACCCACTGTCGTCAATGGTCGCTCCTAGTCCGGTGCTCGCCAGCGCAACGGGAAATATCAGAAGCATTGCACCACTTAAATATGTGCGCTCATCGACGTATATGCAAATATTCTCCCGTGTCCAATGCACATACACCGTGATATATATGTATATACATGTACGTAATTCGAGAGCTTATACCTATAGATACCCGTGATAAATGCATATGCACCGTGATATATTGATATATATGTATATACATGTACGTAACTCGAGAGCATATACCTATAGATACCCGTGTTAAATGCATATGCACCGTGATATATATGTATATATATCTACGTAACTCGAGAGCATATACCTATAGATACCCGTGTTAAATGCATATGCACCGTGATATATATGTATATACATCTACGTAACTCGAGAGCATATACCTATGGATACTCGTGTTAAATGCATATGCACCCTGATATATATGTATATACATCTACGTAACTCGAGAGCATATACCTACAGATACCCGTGTTAGAAGCAGAAGCCCAACACGTCGGAAGATTAACACTTGTATATACCTGTATGTCTGTGCACAGTCACACAGGTAGAGCCAGCAGCCGACCGCGTGTCGTACTTCTACCCTCTGTCGTCAATGGTCGATGCCGGTCAAGTGCTTGCCAGTGCGGGCCAGATGAAAAGCGGAGACACTCTGTACACCATAGGCGAAGACGACTCCATCTTAAAGTGAGTATGTGTGCTTGTATTGTATCAGAAAATGGGTCATGGGTGATATACGGGTCTCAATGGGGTGATTTTGGCTTAGTGGAAGGTTTGTATGACATATAGTGAGTTTTTTCTTCTTCTTTTTTTCTATTTTTTTTTCCGGAAAGAGTGTGTGAATATACTCAGTCTTCCCAGTCAGATGCTTGCCCGTGCTGGTCAGCTCACGCGTGGAGACACTTTGCACAGCATTGTCGAAGATGGCATTATCGTAGAGCACATGTGTTTGGGCGGCTATGTTGAGCTGGATATACTGGACTATATAAGAGGGGATATGGGGAGAAGTTAAAAATACTAGTCTTAATAATGTGAATCATGCTTTAGGCCTGTGGTGTGTCTATGGCTTTGTTGGACAATGGTACACACACACACACGCTGATTCCACATACACTGTGGTCAGTATGCACACATGTGTGGTAAACTCGCGCAGTAGGAATTTCACATGCTCACATTGTGTGCACCCATTGACGTCATATATATTGCTATACTACTGCGGTGTATTATATATATATATATATATATATACCACTAAGATGAAGGGGATGAATGCGGGAACTTTCTAGTCACCGAGTACGACGTTGTGTCTGTTAATGTGCCTGAAAGGGACTGTACAGCATGTATACACTTACTAGCTGTGCATACACCTATTGTCTAGTTGCACTATACCAATATAAATATCCATCATACATACAGACTCATATCTTGCATCGGTACGCTAAATATACATATACCCGCTGACCCTGTAACTATCTTCATCCACACAGAGCACTGGTAATGATGAAGGAGAAGAATGCGGGGGCTTTACTGGTCACACACGCCGATGTGGTGTCTGGTATAATCACAGAGAGAGACTACTTGACTAAGGTGGTGGTGAAGGGTTTGTGTTCAAGAACGTCTCCGGTTTCTGCCGTCATGACCAAGAAAGTGGTAAGGGTTTAGAATTCATTTATATGGGTGCGCGCAGTGTACTTGTGAGTGTAGATTTTGGACGGATTTCTGTAACTGATATTCAAGGTCGAAAAAGTTTCAAGCAATTGAATCCACATATGTATTTGTATATATAGATGTATGTATATATATATATATATATATGAATATATATATATATATATATATATGAATATATATATATGTATATGTGTATATATATATATATATATATATAGTGTGTGTGTGTGTAGTA